TGTTTCCCTACGTTATCCTATTTTAGATGGTAATACTTTGGGATCATATATAGGGAACACTAAAGCAAAAACAGTAGTAACTAATTTAAGTCATCATTGAGAAAAACTGCAAGGGGGAGTGAAGAAGAGACAAACTGAGAAATAATTTTCTGGAATGAAAGCTGCACTTTTAGTTTCACAAAGTAAAAAGTCCCACTCAGTACCCAATGCAAATAAATATGCGGCTTTTCATAGTCTTTTGTGTAAAGGTATTAAAATATCTCATAATTCAACTCTGTAAAAATTAACAGATTTGATGCCTAAACTAGATCTCCTTTTTTCAAATTATATTCCACCTAGATGTTAGAATTTCCATGATGTCGGTGAGAGAGCTGTACTTGGAGAGGGAACACAGTTTTGAAGTATACCTGGGCTGCAAAGTGTAAGGGAAAATATCACAGACTACTTAACAAAATATTTTAACTTCCATTAAAAAAACTACAGTGTAGCGCAGACACATTATATTTCTTTAACCCTTTATTATCTGTCATCGAAAAGGAAGTTACATACCATGATTTGCTTCTGTGTTTTTCAAATGTTCTTAATGAAGAATTTTATTTCACAAAAATCTATCTTAGTAATATAAAAATTGATTGTATAAATTAAAAATTGTCATGATTCAAAATACATCATGCATGAAGCCTTTCTTCTCTCTCAGTAATGATATTTCTTCCTCCTTTGAAATATCAGTTATTTTATTCCACTTTATATTATAGTGACTTGTAGAGTTTTTTAATTATCCATGAATAGATAGAAAATGTCTGCTTCCATAAGTGGGAGACACAGAGCCTTATATATCTCTATGTCCTCTCCACCGCATGTCTAACAATTCCCTGAAAATAGTAAGCAATCTACATGTGTGTCTGAATTCTCCAAAAACCTTATTTTGTTAAACTAAAAGCCACCTTCAAAGGGTCCTTAGAAAAAAATGAGTTCTATTTTGACAACTAAGAGTGTTAGTTTTAAGCCTTACAGAATCCCTACTAATTTACCACATATGTTCTCATACTAAATAATATTTCAACATTTCTTGTATAGCCATTAAAAATTAAAACAATGAGAATCTTTCCTGCTAGGTACAAGAATCACTTCTTAATCAGATGTATATCTTAAAAAAAAAAAAACTGAAATCATTACACTTTTCCTTGCTGGTGTTGTAAGAGTGCCCAAAATAGTGTAAATCAACAGATTTTTTAAATGGGAACGCCTAAGAAATACAATTATTGTTTACAGAGAGGAAAAAACAATTGTGTGTTTAAAATAGAAGGTGGAAACAGAATTTAAGGAAGAGATCTGCTCATAAGACAGCACTTGCAGGGGGCCACTTAATTTGTTCATTTATCCACCCAGAAATCATTGGCAGGGACTGTGTCACACCACAGGCAGAACAGTTCCTTCGTGGTTGAGGTCATGAGCTAAAGAAGGTGTACACTCCACCTTCCAGACAGCACGAGCGGTAGCAGGACCTTGTAGTCATCTCTGGCTGAGGGAGCAGGGAAAAGAGCTCACAAAGGAGGTGCCATTTGAACAGGGTTTTAGGGTTAAGCTTTATTCTGCAGATTTCAATACATCTGGGGGGTCCAAAGTAACACAACTTGCTAGGTTTGGGTACGAAACTGCTTGTCTAACAACAGTTGGGCGAACAGATGAGGACCTAGTCCGAGTATGAGGAAGCAGATATGGAAGATACTTGAGAGAGAGCATCAACAGGACTTGATGATAGATTTGAGGAGTCAAAGTGGTCATTTTAGGCCTTGAACTTGGCAGACAGATGATGACATTAAATAAAATATAGATTGCCAGTTAACACGTATTTATTGTGCACCTTCTATGGACAGACACTGTTTGAGGCACACGAGGTCTGTTTTCATTGTATTCAGGGGAGGCGGACAGTAAACAAATGAATAATCTGAGACGGTGATCAACAGGCTGGAGAAAAGAGGGTTTCTGAGAGTGACGGGCGAAGGGCACGTTAGCTGAGACAGTCATGAAAAGTGACACCTGAACGAAGACCTGGATAAGGAGACAGCCTAGCGAAGCTGTGATAAAGAAGGGAGAGCAAATGCAGAGGCTGGGGTGGGAAAGAGCTTAGGTGGTCAAGGGACAGAAAGGCAGCTGGGGATGGGGTGGGGCTTGCAGGGTGCAGAGGAAAAAGAGACTGCAGCGCACACGGAACTCCGTGCAGCCACAGTCAGCAGCTCAGCCACAGGAAGGATGTGATCTGACTTATGTTTCTGCCTGCTGTGTGGAGAATGGACGTAAGGGGGAAGAATGGAGGCAGAGAGTCCTGGAGAAAGTGGAGGCTTAGACTTGGTTCTAACAGTACCATGTTGGGAAGCGGTCAGATGTCAGATTCTGGGCATAGAGGGCGAGGCAACAGGCTTCCTGATGGACTGGCTGTGGAGTGTGAGGGAAAGACAGGGTTTGGATTCTAACCCACTGTGGGGAGGATGGTGATATTCAACAGAGTTAGTGGGAAGTTAAGCAGACAGAAGCTCAGGGTGGCAGGGCCAAGAATCAACCGTTCTTCTCTGGTCAAGTAAAGGCTAAATGATCTAGAAACTTGTAAGGGAAACGGCAAGTAGGCAGTTGGACATAGTGTAGAGTTCAGGAGATAGGTCTAGGTGCAGATAGACTTCGGCAGTCATCAGCCTCTAACTAAAAATATTTTTATTTAATTTATTTTTCATTGTTAATCCTCATCCAAGGATATTTTCCCATTGATTTATAGAGAGAGTGGAAGGGAGGGGGAGAGATAGAGAGAAAAACACATCGATGTGAGAGAGACACATCCATTGGTTGTCTCCAGCATGTGCCTCGACAGGGGCTGGGGATCTAGCCTGCAACCAAGGTATGTGCCCTTGACCGGAATGGAATCTGCAAACCTTCAGTCCATGGCTGGTACTCTAACCACTGAGAAAAACAGGCCAGGGCTACATAGATATTACACCATGAGACTGGATAAGATTTACCTTGACTGATCAAGGGAGACTGTGGGATGGGGCAACGGTGGGGAACATGCAGCAATGTTTTTGTTTTGGGGTCTTTAAAGAAGAGGAATGAATTCCATTTTAGACACTGAAGGTTGAGGTAAATGATTATTTGGCTTTTCTGTGGCAAATCACACACAGACTCTAAAGGACTTTATTATTAGCCTCTTTTACTGGATTTACCCCTGTGGTCTCATTTGCAGTCTCCCCATTACTTTTTGCTACATAAGTAAGCTCTCTGATAGCAAACACTACCCTCTGAATGTCCCGCCGCCACTCAAATAGAAGGCACTTCTGAAATATCTCTTACAGCATGAGTATACAAACCCACTCTTTTTAAGGACTGATTGTATAATAGACTAGAAAACAGCACAATAATGAGCATGGGAGGATCATAATCTCAAAACTTTCTTCCTTTAAGAGTTATTAACCTTGGAATTCTTTCCATCAATGAATCAACTTTGAAAGATAACCAAGTACTTCAGACATTTCCAGCGAATCCCATAACTAAGCAATTAAACTCAATAATTATGGATGATTTCTAAACCATTCTGGTGGTTCTTTCCCAAAGTTCAAATACACCAACCTTTATTTCCCATCAAAGATGCTACTTATGGTCAGCAGTCACAAAATGTTTGAATACATGAAAGAGATCAAGCTACTTCAATGTATAGATGGAACCTATTTCTTTGTCCTTGTATCTGTGTTTTTTCACCACTGTATACTCCTTATACCAGTGATGGCGAACCTATGACACGTGTGTCAGAGGTGACACGCGAACTCATTTTTTTGGTTGATTTTTCTTTGTTAAATGGCATTTAAATATACAAAATAAATATCAAAAATATAAATCTCTGTTTTACTATGGTTGCAAATACCAAAAAATTACTATATATGACACAACACCAGAGTTAAGTTAGGGTTTTTCAAAATGCTGACACGCCGAGCTCAAAAGGTTCGTCATCACTGCCCTATACGGTGCCTTGAAGACAGTCAGTGCTTAATAAATATTTGTTGTCCACATGAATGAAAAACTAATGCAGTTTTATGGGAAAAACGACACTTTTCTTCCTCTGCATAAATTTCCTCCCTACATCTCTCTTTAAATAAGTTCTTCTTGATTATAAAACATTCATTCATTATGGAAAATCTGAATATAAAAAAATAAAAATATCTCTTCTTAAAACACATATTACTGGCTACTTAAAATTCATGATTGTATTCATTCATGTATTCATTCAACAAATCTTGACTGTCTACTCTGTGCTAGGCTTTCGGGATATGGAGATAAAGCAAGCAGGCCAGGCCCCTGACCCCACTCCATTATATATAGCAATACCCTTATGCGCTACAGTAGAATGTAAGTAGAGGTATGTCACCATGTAGAAAGTTTCAAAACTCATGGATATCCCTTCCGCCCTAAAAATTAACATTCCCCCTAAGTCTTAAACATTATTTCGGTGATTAAATAAAATTAGTACGTTTCTACATAGTACACCAAAGTGTCCTGATGACATTTTCAAGAACTCCCAAGGAGCAAATAGCTTTTTCATGTGGAAAAGAACAAATACCATAGTCTTTCTACAGAACAACGTCAAGGACTGCGTTTTGATGCTGGAAATGGTAATGTAATATAGTTCCCAATAAGTTATTTTCAAACCTTCCCCTATAGGTTCACACATTATCTATTTATTAGAAAATAACCACTCAGTTAAAAATAGTTCAAATGTTTTAACCTGAGTGCTCTATTTCTCTTTTCAGCAAGAAGTTTCTATTTCCAACACAAGGAAAGCTTAGCGCTTGGGAAGTCACGCTTTATTGTCATCTCTGAATTAGAGCAGATGACTTGTTTCTTGGTACCTAGACACCAGTCTGCATAGCAAGAGTAGAAGTGATTGTTCATCCTCAGAGAAATATATAGTCACCGTGACTCGTTTCACCCCGAAAGGACTCATAGGGAGTATCACTTACCGGCTGGTTGCCTTCTACTTCTGAAGTTTTACCTCTTGCTGCCATTCTCTGTTCATTTTCTGTCTCTCCTAAGAAGCAAAAGAAAAACAAAATAGAAAACTTTATCATCTCATTGAGGCCAAATTGTCTCCTATTTCTTTGAAATATCTTTTGATATTATAAGGAACCAACTACTATTTCCTTTGTTAAAAGTAAATAAGTGAATTTTTAAGAATAGTAATTTTATTGAGGTCTCAGATATCAAATGCACACACACATATACATAAATACGCATACATACAATGTAAACCAGAAATATATCCTGTTATATAAAGGTTTACACTGGACAAATGAAGTGAATTCACATTTTGTAAATCAAGTCATATTTCAAACTAGGAAAATTTATAATTTAAAGATAAGACAAATTATTTTCAAATTAAAAGTCTTTATAATATGAATAACTGTCCTCCAAATTAGTTTTTTATAAGGTTTATGCTTTATAAGGTTTTGTATATCTGTGGATTTGCCTCTATGTAGATACATATATTTGCATGTAATAATTAACCAAATGTTGAACAATCTTTACAGCAGGAAAGAATAATGAACAAATTCATAAACTGGCCTTCAGTTATACTTTGACTCCTAAGGCTGTGCCTGGGTGAGTTATGCTACTAAATGAAGTTGGTGACTAGGCTGGCTCCAAGGACACAAGACAAACACAAACATAGGTAAGTATGAGCATAATCTAATTTGTTAATGGCCTATTTTTATTTATTATCACTAATGATCCGTGATTAACACAGGGCAAGTAAAGAAACAATTAGCCTATTTATTTCAAGCATAATGAGGGGTTAACTTAGTCATTTGTAAATTGCTTGTCCCATAAAATTAAGCCAGCTCAGGAATGTCCACAACAGGTTAATTACAAAATTCATAGAAGATGACTTGGCTGATACTAAAGGTTAGGAATTTGTTAATAGAAGGAAGGACACAGGTCTTGATTGGAGATAAAGTATGAAAGTAAGAAAGGCTGAGGTTAACTTTTCCCTATGAAATACAAAAGTTTAGTTTACCAAGGAAGAAAGAACCTTGTGTAAATTTTAAAGGATTAAATAAAATTCTGTTAAATTCTAAAATCATGAAGCAATAATTAAATTGGTAGTTTATTTACTTAAGACAGTTATTTTACTTAGGATAAAGGAACTCCCTAAAGTGTTTAAAATCCAAGCACATTAGTACATACTCCAGCCTAAAAGCTTTGTTCTCAGCTATATGTAACATAAATAGCTGGCCAGGACAGAACACATAATAGGTGTTTAATAAACACTAGCTGAATTAGTGAACTTCTCTTTATGGTTTCTAGTCTATAAAACTGTGACAAAGTAATACTAAATGGTATGTAATAAAAACTGTATTTCAGCATGCAGTTAGTCTCTTTCTTCTAAAACATATTTGTGAAACCTAAAAGGCAAATTTATGAAACACCATTATAATGTATTATTACCAGTGATCCATAATTGTGGCATAACTTATTAGATTTTAAAAACAGTTAATGATTTTTTAAAAAAAATCATATTAAAACAAAAGCATTAGGAACTTTTGGGTTACATCTATAAGATAATACAGTTAACCATTTGCAGCAATATGGATGGACCTTGAGAACATTATTCTAAGTGAAATCAATCAGAAAAAGCTAAGAACTATATGATTTCACTCATATGTTGGATACAAAACTGAAACTCGAGAACACAGACAGCAGTGCGGTAACTGCCAGAGGGAAGTAGGTGGGGGAGAAGGGGGCTTTAACATGAGGTGACAGGAGAAGATCTGACTTTGGGTTATGGGCACACGGTACAATATACAGATCTTGTAACATAGAAACCCACACCTGAAACCTGCATGTTCATGTTGACCAGTGTCACCCCAATCAATTTAATGAATATTTATATGGAAATGATAATAGTTAATTTTAATTGAAAATTAAATCAACCTACTTTTGGGACCTAGGATATCACTAAACTATTTTGATTTTTAAGTGTTTAAACCATGTATTTGCTTATAAAGAAGAGTCTTATTTTCAGAAACCCGCTTCTCTCTGGAAGTTAGGGATAAGCAGATCCCAGGCAGCAATACCAATGAAGAAGGAGTTCAGTTTGTTTGGCTATGGGCGGAGAGCATAGCAGCATGAATAGCCAAGGTAATGTACAATGAGGTCAGGGTGTGTTTAATAACTCCTATGCATGATGCTAGGAAAATACAAATCACCGGAAATGAAAGCTTTGTTGCCTTTTAGGTTAAAAAAACCTCAAGAACAATTTTTATTTTTTTATTTTTTACCTTTCAAAATGATTACTACTCCATCCCACAGCCACACAAACACTTTATTGGGCTAAACTCATTTGGCTAAAAGCATTCAATGTGCTTCCCTTGCCACTTTCTGATTTCAAGGTGTGTGTCTATACAAGACTTTCCCTGGTTCTCCTACAGCCTGAATAGCCAGAACGGCTATCAACAGTGTTCCCAGCATCACACAGCACATCTGCCTGGAAGCGACTCTAGAATCACTATTGACTGAAATGCCATGTCTGGCAATGACTCAGATTGAACAGTAACTGATTACAAGGAAAAATGCCTTTTGCAAGAGTCTATAAACAAAGGCACAAAAGGAAAACTACACAAACAGCAGAAAAGAAAAGTCACAAAGAAATAAAGTTTTAAAGTCTTATTCCTCCCATTGACGAATTATTCTTTCATGGTAAAAATTCAGTTATTTTGTCCATTTTTTATAACCCACATGAAAGTTAGGCACTTTTATAAAAGAAAGATGCATGTGACAAATGTGAAATAAGATACTTTAGTTTTCAAACATCAGTTAGCTCTAATTTATATGCTGGATAGATTCGAAATTTTCATTGGCAAATCAGCTGCTTAGAAAGAACAAAAACCACCAACATCTCACAGTACTTCACATTTCATAAAGCCTCTGTATCCCACCACACTGAATTCTTGCTCTGGTTCAGTAAAACATTCTCCCCACCCCAAGCCCCCAGATTACTGGTGAGTGAACCCTCAGGGCCAGAGCACTCCATGAAATGCCCAGATCTCCCAGGTAGAAGGCAGTCTCAGTAGGACCAGAACCCGTTGTCGCCATTTCTGGGGATTCTGTGGAAGGTTCTGAGGTGAGAAAGCACCTCTGAGTTAGGGAGCGGGGTGTGAGGAGAAGAGCTAGGGCTCCTGCTCTCTGAAGACAGGATCCTGAGCTGGTCCAATGCCCTGGGCCCCTAGATCCTTCTCTCTATTCCTTTGTTCTGCCACAGGCCCCACAGATTATCTGTTCTCATCCCTTTACAATGATGATGGTAAATACTTCTGACCAGGGCAAGCCGCTGTCCTTCTTCCAATCCTACAGAGCAAACACAGTCCCCTGGATACTTTTCTAGAAGTTTGTAAGGCGAGAAAATTTCCTAAGGGCCAAAATCCCTCTTATACTACAGGGTGCCATTTTCTTGGTTTAAAATATAGTTTTTATTTAGAGTGAGTAAATGATAGAGGCTACTTATACATACTAATGAAGCTCTTTCAGGACTTACAGAACTGAAGTGAAATTCATTTATATTTTAGATTAGGGGTTGGCTACTGTTTTCTGTAAACAGCTTGAGAGAAAACATTTTAGGTTTATGGGTCACACTTTCTTGGCTGCAACGTTTTGACTCTATCATTGTAGCTGAGAGCAGCCACAGACAATATATAAACCAATGAGGGGCCGTAACCGGTTTGGCTCAGTGGATAGAGCGTCGGCCTGCGGACTGAAAGGTCCCAGGTTCAATTCCAGTCAAGGTCATGTACCTTGGTTGCCGGCATATCCCCAGTGTGGGGTGTGCAGGAGGCAGCTGGTCGATGTGTCTCTCTCATCGATGTTTCTGACTTTCTATCCCTCTCCCTTCCTCTCTGTAAAAAAATCAATAAAATATATTAAAAAAAAAAAAAACAATGAGGGAAGCTGTGTCCTAATAAAATTGTATTTACAAAGACCACTGCCAGGCTGTAATTTCCTGATCCCTGTGTTAGAAAATATATGTACTCCACCTTTTCTGATAAAAGGCTGAATTGTGTTTGAATTCTATAAGGAGATGAGGAAGGGACAGTCATTAGACTATCATCATGATCCCTTCTACCGGGTGAATTGAGTTGAGAAGAGAGATGGTGGTGAAGAGTGAGCACTTAGGGATAAGGGAAGATGGAAAAGAGAGAAATCCCCAGTGATGAGAAGGGAACCCACATGCCTATTTGGGTCACCTAGAACAAACCTGTTTGGGCGGGGGCTAGGCCTCCCTCTACTCCAGTCCTGGGATTGGTGATTTGAGAGGACTTGGCTGTGTGGTTCTGCCCCTTCCTTTTCCCCTCGTCTTGAGAATGAGAGGACCACAGAAAACACATGGCTCCCTCTGCTCTGACCTTCCACAGGGACTTCCTCCCACGTGGGAAGCCTGCCTCGGCCCAGCATATCCTGCAACTGGATGGAGCTCAATCTAATTCTGGGTTTCAGATTAGGAAACCTATTTGCTCCTTTTAGAAGCCATGTTCTTCAACACCAGCTTTATTGGCAATAAAAATGAGAATGTGGTTTTTTGTATGTGTGGGTTTTTTTTTCTTTTCTTCTGAAAGTGGCCATATCTTATCTGGGAAAGAGGCATGCTAATACTGGAACATCCTAGAGCCCAACAGGACTAGGAATGGACTGGTGTGGACAGTGCTGGGCCTGCCCACGATGAAAAGATGCGAATACAGAAAACTTTTCCTTTCTTTTCTTGATTAGAGAAAAATTACCTAGAACTCGATACCTTAGATTATAGCCTACAAAACACAAGTTCCAAGGGGTTCACCTGGAAAGAATATTTCTATGGTCAAAAGTATGAGGAAAACCTATAGAATGTGTTCCCTTTTAGTTGTTTTCCAATTTACTTTAACATATTAAAGGCTCTGGGAAATTGTTTAGTAAAGAAGTTTAATTTTTTTCACAATGACTGTGGAGCCATTATATTCACTGAATACCTATTAAACATATTGCAGAGGTCTATGAACACAACAT